GGAGGGCTCCCATGGGAGGTTCCTGATGTGTACCTCTGCAGCTAATACAGGAGGAGGGCAGGAGGGTATTTTTACCTCTCCCAGGTGCCTCTTTGTCCTGTGGGCTGTTTGAGTAAGGGGGTGTCTCACTGGGAGATGGTTTGAATAGTCTGCTGGGAGCTGGGACATGAGGTGCCACCCTGCCTGAGCCCCTACCCCCCTTTAGCTTGTACACAGCTTGCAGGCAGGCATTTTGCCCCATTAAACTGAGGTGGAGTCACCAGGTTCCCTTTCAGGAAGCTGGATCCACTCTTCTTATCTGTGTTGTAGGAAGTTGCAGTTGCTGTTTTTATCATTCCAACCAGGACTTTTTACTGGAAGGTATAATTACAAGCAAAATGTCAGGGTTTGGCTGGGCAGCTAGACTCTGGGATGCTACCACAGGCAGGCAGGGGCCACTGCAGAGAGGTTGCTTGGTGTAAAAAGCAAGACACATTCACATGTGGACACACACCTACACTGGCTGCTGGGTGGCTTCTGCAGCTGTTTCTAGCATCTGCAGTTTTTTTCTAGGCAGCAGAGGATATTGCTAGGTTTTTGCCTAGAAAATTGCACCTGAATGTCTCGTACTTGGCAGGTCATGCTAGCCTGGGGAGCAGTAAGCCGTGTGGCTCCTTTCTGTCCGGGAAGTTGGATTTTGTTAAATGGAACTATTGAGCACCTGTTATTCCCTCTTCACTGAGCTCTGTGCCGGGGACGGAGATAAACAAGGTGGCCCCTGCTTTCGAGTCTCTCACATCTGGCCACAGAATTCAGATGGAGCAAGTCCTCCTGAGCCTTTCAGATGAGCCTGTGGTGTGTGTTTAATATGAAGATGCCTTGGCCTGCACAGAGGGAACTTCCACAGTGGTCGCCCCTTACCTGCAATTTTACTTTCTATGGTTTCATTTATCTGTGGTCAGCCAGGGTCTGAAATATTGCATAGAAAATTCCAGAAATAACTCATTATAAATAAGGTTATTATAGTGTCTCATTACAGGAGTTCTTTTAGTTATATATGCCTAATTTATAAATGAAACATTATCCTAGTTATGTGTGGCTAGGAGAGAACAGTACAGTGATCAGTGCCATCTGTGCTTTGGGGCATCTGCTGGGGATCTGGAGATGTATAAACCCCAGGATAAGTAAGGGAAGCTTTTGTGTTAGTTTCTGATGCAGCGTAACAAATCTTCACCAGCTTAGTGGCTTATGTGTTCTCACTCATTAGTGCAAAGTCTGGGAGAAGGTCCTGAGACTCTGGGGAAGAATCTGTGTCCAAGTGCTTTTTACTTTGGCAGAAGCCAGTTCCTTGGCTTCTAGGGCTGAGTTCCTGTCTCCTTACTGGCTGCAGCTGGAGACCCATCTTAGCGCCCTCCATTTTCAGCCCCGCAGAGGGGCTTAAAGTCCTTTCCTGCTTCAGAACTCTGGCTTCTTTGTGCCCACTGGAGAGAACTGCTCTTAAAGGGCTTATTGATTCAATCAGGGCCACCCAGATGTCTCCCTGTCTTAAGATCAATTTAAGAAATGATGCTAAGGTAACATTATTAATTATACCTGTGGCAAATGTTGATTGTATCTTCAGATCCCTTTGTCCAGTAGGGTGGCTTGTTCCGAGGAATAAGACCACAGGCAGAGATGAGGGAACCCTCCCGGAATGGCGCCCGCCCCAAGGTTAAACCAATGGGCTTCATCAGCAGAGGCACTGCTGACAGCTGCATCTCTTAGGGGCTGAGTGAATTGTGTGTGTTTTTGACTTGTGTTTTCTCATTTAAATCTCAGGACAGTACCTTGAGGTAGGGACAGTTATTTTCACTACCACTTCCCAGAAAAGGAAACAGACTCAGTGGATTTAAATACCTTTGGGCCAGTCTTACAGGTGCTGGGATTTGAGACCAGCAACATTTAGTCCCCAGCCATCCTGCTTGAGGTTGGCACATCCAGTTTGATTTATATGATTTGTGGAATGCAGTTGAGGGCTGTTCTTCCCCAGCTGGTGTTTGAACTGATCAAATCTGAAGTGTGGTGGTTGTGCCTCAGGAACGGGACAGACAGCGGGGACCCCTCACCCGGGGTCAACAGGTCTGTGGGTCAGTTTCATTCTTACTTCAGTGGACAGTGTGGTTCATTCGCTTGCTCCTCTGTGGAATCTTGTGGGTTTCTAATATGTCCTGGACATCAAAGAGGATGCAGAATACTGACCTGGAGGAGTTGCAGATATAGATAAGGACACAAGACACTATGATCTGAAGGAGTAAAAAATGATGGCCAGGGGCCGGGGATTTAGCTAAGTGGTTCTGCCGCCTGTCTCAAAAGCACAGGACAGGAGTTCAATCCCCGGAAAAAAAAAAAAAAAAAAAAAAAAAACCCAACTGGGAAGATTCTGGCTAGCAGGACAGACTTTCGATACTACAGCAAAAATACAAAGGGTGCTAGAGTGTGAAATCCAGAAGATGAGAAGGGCTGCAGCTCTCTCACTGCAGTAACCCGAGCACCTGTGGGCCCAGTGCATGGCAGGTGCCCAGAAATTACTCCTTACTTTTTTCTTTTTGAGCATAGACTATATTCAGGGCCCTGTGCACTGAACAAGTACAAAGTCTAGAGGGGTAACAAGAGAGGGGTTATGGAGAGAGGGGACTTGAGCAGGGAAGGGCGGGAAAGGAGAGAAGGGAGTCCAGAGGTTGAGAGGTGGGGTGGTAGGACTGGAAAGGGGGACCTGTTGAACAAGCTTGGGGGCAAAGCTTCCTCATGGTCTTCCAGGTAGGCGAGATCAGCGGTTAGCATGTCACCACTGTGACAGTGAGGAGAGTTGGGGCACAGGGGCCCTGTCCTAAACCAGTCTGCAACAGCAAGGGCAGGACTGGGAAAGAAGGCCCAATGCACAGACCCACGAAGGAAGGGTTAGTGGGACTTGGTGGCCAAACAGTTAAAAGTATACATGAGCGAGTAGCTGTTTAGGGGCACCATGGATTTGCTATAAATACAGAAACATGCAATTTCCAGAGGCCAGGAGTCACCACCTGCAACGCCCAAGTGCTGTGGCCCGTGCATGGCCCTGTACTTTGCCTCTGGGGCCCCGCCCTCTGCGTGACACAGAGGCCTGTTATTTCGGAGGAGAGGCGGGTGGTTGTTGAGTGAGACAGCCTTCTCTTCTGCTAGCTGAGGAAGAGGGAATCAGGGCTGCGGGCAGCCTGTGAGAAGGGAGGAGCCCCTGCCCCCAATAGCTTTGAGTATGAGGTAGTGCGAGCCAGGGAGGGGAAAGGAAACCCCGTGCAGGTCCCCGCACTTCTACCGAAGTTGCTTTGTCTGGAAGAAAGCACGACTGATGTGGAGGATAAGGACGTTCTGCTAGCCTGGCGTTCTCAGACTCTTTTGAGGATTCTCAGATCAAAACTCTTTTTGTGATAACCCTAGGATGCATTTACCTGGCTCACTCGTTTTCTCCTGAGTGTGTAGCTCTGGAAAGCAGTGTTTTCCGAATGACCCATGCACTGTGTTACAGATCACACCTGGGTAACGATCCATTCCAAATACCGGACGGGCCAGCTGGGGAGAATGTCACCGGGTACCGAAGTTCACTGATAAGCTCAGGTTCCACACCACAGTGAGCCTTTCAGAAACTGTCACTTGTCAAGTCTGAGTTTATGTTGAAGAATATCCAGAGTTATGTAAAAAGGCTTAAGCTGTCCTCCCCATCCAGCCACCTGTCCAGAGGAGGCAGGATTTTCTTCATAGCCCATAATCAAAACACACCTCAGCAGATTGAATGCAAAAGCACGTTCCAGCCACTGTTCTCAATGAGAGGTATTTTTGGGAAATTGATTTATCAAAGACAACTCTTGTTTATTTATTTGTACATCTGATGAGTTTATTCTTACTTTTAAATTAACATTTAAAATTTTTTTCAGTTTTAACTTTGAATACAGCGACCATCCATAGGCAAAACCACATAAACAGAAGCACCTCAGGGGCCTGCCTCAGTCATGTTTAAGTGGAGAAGCAGTGTCCCACTCAGAGTCCCCATGGTGTGGGATCCGGGTCCGGCCCCACCACTGGCTCTCTACATCCCTTTCCTCCTCTAGCTGTTTGGTAGCCCTTTGAGGTTGCATTTATTTTCATACTCATTCTGTAAGCAAGGACTAAGGTACTGAGGGTGTGAACGTGGGCAGGGGTGGCAGCACACGGAGGACCAGGCTGAAGGGGCTTCAGGTAATGATGCACCCTCACCGTGGATGTGCGTACACCGCTTCCGCTCTCAGAGCTTCAGTTTGCCCATCGGGCTGGGCTCACTGTCGTCAGGACGGTATGTGCATGGTGTGTATGTGAATAGGTAGTCGGGTTCTCGGTGTGCGCAAAACATCCTGTGTACAACTCTTGTCATTTCAGCGCATAAAACCTGCCACTCTAGCTGCACGATACTCTGCTGGAGGGATGCGTTCGTGAGCACTGAGGCTATTGCCAACTTTCGCTGCCGTGAAAGAGCACGGCCAACTGTGGTAGAAGGCGAGCTCCTAGGCGCGGAAGTGCTGGGCAGAAGGGCATGTGCGTCTCATTTCACAGCTGTCAGCCTCACTGGTCTCCGCCGCGGTGGGGCTGGCCACCTTCCCCCCTGTTCTCTGGATGGGCATAGGAAGTGCAGTGCTTTGGGATCTCGGAGACAGAAGGAGGAGTCCACTGCCAGTTCACTGCCAGTGCTTTACTCTGGTCTTTCTCAGCTCTCTAGGACAAGTTCTTTTCTCCAGCCTGTTGCTCCAGGTGGCTCAATGAAAGTGGCAGCTGGGCCAGCGTGCTTTTACTGGCTGTGTGGGATCAGACAGCAGGACAGCCACCCTGATTGCAAGGGCCGCTTGCGGGAGGAGGCGCCTCGTGTTTGCTTAGGAGGGGGCTTTACTCTCCCTGCCTGTTTCTCTTCCTGCTCACTCTTGAAAAGGAAACCAGTGATTTCACCAGGTGGGAGAACCTGAGTGTTGGGTCGTTAGTCCCCTCTGTGGCTAGGGCAGTGGTCTGATGGGGTCCTGGAGCCACGCAAGGGTCTGTGGGTGACCCCCCAGCTCTGAGACCAGGGGCAGTTGTGAAGCCCCCACTCCTGGGTAAGGGGAAGCAGAGAACAGCAGGTCCATCTGCCACGCTCCCCAGTGGGGAGAAGCCTCTTTAGCCAGAGTGACTTCTGCTTGGCTTGGCACACTGCCTGCTTGGGGAAACACAGCTTCACAACAGCGTCAAGTCAAAATCTATCCATATTCTGTGAGTTTATCTTAAAAAAAAATTTTTTTTTTCAGCCAAACCTGGTTTTTTGAATAAAAATAAAAAACTCCAGTGAGTGAATGGGTTAGTGAATCATGGTTAGTATATGTTTCCAAGGCATGAAAATGTACAGTTGATCACCTCAGAGATAAAACTACCATGTTTCATGAGGTGCCAGAAGTGGGTCCCCAGTGTCTGCCTCAGTCTGTAGTGAATGAAGGGCAGGGAAATGGCAACCATGAGAAGCGTAAAGATAAAAACTGTGAAGAGTATTCTGTAATTGCAACAATTTAACTTTGATTTACTTTTTAAAGCTGTGCCCTATGGGGCAGAGCTGTCACTCTAAGAAGACAGGACACTGGGTGGAGAGACAGGCAGTGACCATTGTGGCTGTTTCTGCTCCTTCCTAGTCTGAGTGTGTCGCCGGGACAGTCCCTCTAGAACTCCGCTATCTGGCTTTTCTCCTCAGCAAGATAGACTTTCTTTGAAAAAAATTAAGTTGGTAGAGACCTGGCCAACTCCATGATTGGTCTTTGAGTAGCTGAACAAGTCCTGGGAGCTTGTCAGGTCCTTACTGAAGGTGGTCTTTCTCAACCACTTCTGCATCTGAACACAGAAAGTGAGCCAAGAGTGTTCCCTGTTAGCCACTGTTAGCCACTGTTGGCTCAGGAGAGAGCTGAACTCATGGCCTCTAGTGGGTATCTTGGGGCGAGAGGTGTAATCCTCTTTAGGATGTTGCTGTCAGATTGCACAGAGGCTGGTGAGAATGGCTGCTCTATGGGGTGGATGGAAAGGTCAGTGTCTTGGTGGCAGACATGGGGCCAAGCTTCACAGACCTGGGGCCCCTTTAGTGCAGGGAAAGGGGGCCTTGAGTTTGAAGGCCGCCCTTCCCAGCCTCAAGACGCTAGGTCCTATAGTGCAGTTGTGGGAACACCCTGGACATGGAGCTCTGGACTCTGCCCACCACTCTCCGTGGAGCTTTGGGCAAATCCCCTCGTATCTCTGGCCTGGTTTCCTAGCGTGTAGGTGTAACTGTACCTGGGGCTGTGGTGGGGGTTGGATGGGATAGCTTGTGTGCTACTTCTTTAGCAGTATCCCTTGAGCTGTTTCTTGTCTGCATTGCAGAAGTAGTGGCATGTGGCAGGAGGCCCCTCCTGGCACTCTCGTGGTTGCCACACTTTCCAGACCTGCACTTACCTGGAGGGCTGGTGGCTCTGAGCATCCGGTCTTTGCTGAAGCTAGTCTGGCTTGCTTCAATGTTGCTTGTGCCCCACTGCTGTCTTGGGCTTTGTCTCTGAGTCTCTGTCAGTGGCCTCACCTCCAAATCCTCATTCATCCCAGTTGGGCTCCAAAAGCCCTGAGGTTTAGCAGTCACAGCAAGGTTTGGGGAAACATGTCACAGGGTTCAGAATTCATGTTGGAAGTTCCATCCATCAGAGGCCGAGCCACAGAAGAGCATGTCTACACTGAGTCTCTCTCCAAGGGCAGAGGCCATCATCGGACAACTACAGCTTGGATCCCAGCTGGGGACAGGTGCCCTGGGGCAGGAGCAGAGAGGAAGGCTCTGGGCTATTCACAGGTCCTTGGGAATATGCTCAGAAGTCCCCTCAGCAGCCTGCAGGAATAGGTCTCCTTGGGCCAGGGGAGGGCAGAGGCTGGGCTTCAGAGCCAGATAGCCCACATGGGCCCTTGCCCCAGCTCTTTGGGTAGCAACTCTGCCTGGGCCCTGCTGTACAGCTGGCTAATGACACACACCTCCCCATAGCACTGTCCTAAGGTGCAGAGTGTGGCAGAGGGTGCTCCCTCCTGAGTACTCAGGTCAGGGACAGGGATGCCCTTTCCTGTGCTGCTCACCACAGGAGGCAGTGGGCCAGGCAACAAAACCAGTTTTCAGTTTTCGCAAGGCAGGGTGAGACCCAGCCCCTCTTGCCCACCCTGTGTGTCTTTGGAGATGAGGTTGAGAGCATGGGAGAGGCCTGCTGGAGACCAGCAGAGGAGCGGGAAGAGGCCAGGGCATCTGGGGCTGAGGGCTGAAGGTAGCTTGAGCAGCAGGGCCCCTCTCACCTGTGTTGTCCTGTAGGTCATGCACCATGTCGGTCAGCGTCCACGAGACCCGAAAGTCGCGGAGCAGCACGGGCTCCATGAACATCACCCTCTTCCACAAGGCCTCACACCCCGACTCCGTGCTGGCCCAGCTCAACACGCTGCGCAAGCAGTGCATGTTCACGGATGTCATGCTCTGGGCCGGTGACCGTGCCTTCCCCTGCCACCGCGCCGTGCTGGCCGCCTCCAGTCGCTACTTCGAGGCCATGTTCAGCCATGGCCTGCGGGAGAGCCGGGACGACACAGTCAACTTCCAGGATAACCTGCACCCTGAGGTGCTGGAGCTGCTGCTGGACTTCGCCTACTCCTCCCGCATCGCCATCACTGAGGAGAATGCCGAGTCGCTGCTGGAGGTGAGCGACATGCTGCAGTTCCACGATGTGCGGGATGCAGCCGCCGAGTTCCTGGAGAAGAACCTCGGCCCCTCCAACTGCCTGGGCATGATGCTGCTGTCGGACGCGCACCAGTGTCGCCGGCTGTACGAGTTCTCGTGGCGCATGTGCTTGGAGCACTTCGAGACGGTGCGGCAGAGCGAGGACTTCAACAGCCTGTCCAAGGACATGCTGCTGGACCTCATCTCCAGCGACGAGCTGGAGACCGAGGATGAGCGAGCTGTCTTCGAGGCCGTCCTGCAGTGGGTGAAGCACGACCTCGAGCGGCGCAGGGCCCACCTGCCCATGCTCCTGCGCGGCGTGCGGCTGGCCCTGCTGCCATCCGACTGCCTGAAGGAGGTCGTCTCCGGCGAGGCCCTCCTCACGGCCGACGAGCACACCCGGCTCATTGTGGACGAGGCCCTGCGCTGTAAGACCAGGATCCTGCAGAACGATGGCGTGGTCACCAGCCTCTGCGCCCGGCCACGAAAGGCGGGCCACACGCTCCTCATCCTGGGGGGCCAGACCTTCATGTGCGACAAGATCTACCAGGTGGACCACAAGGCCAAAGAGATCATCCCCAAGGCAGACCTGCCCAGCCCCCGGAAAGAGTTCAGCGCCTCGGCCATCGGCTGCAAGGTCTATGTGACTGGGGGCAGGGGCTCCGAGAACGGGGTGTCCAAGGATGTCTGGGTGTATGACACCGGCCACGAGGAGTGGTCCAAGGCAGCGCCCATGCTGATCGCCCGCTTTGGCCACGGCTCGGCTGAGCTGGAGAACTGTCTCTATGTGGTGGGGGGCCACACGTCCCTGGCAGGTGTCTTCCCGGCCTCCCCTTCTGTCTCTCTGAAGCAAGTGGAGAAATACGACCCCGGGGCCAACAAGTGGACGATGATGGCCCCTCTGCGGGATGGCGTCAGCAATGCCGCTGTGGTGAGTGCCAAGCTGAAGCTGTTTGTTTTTGGTGGCACCAGCATCCACCGGGACATGGCGTCCAGAGTCCAGTGCTATGACCCTTCCGAGAACTGGTGGACGATCATGGCCGAGTGCCCCCAGCCTTGGCGGTACATGGCTGCCGCTGCCCTGGGCAGCCAGATCTTCATCATGGGGGGTGACACAGAATTCACGGCTGCCTCAGCCTACCGCTTCGACTGCGAGACCAGTCAGTGGACGCGGATCGGGGACATGACGGCCAAGCGCATGTCCTGCCATGCCCTTGCTTCCGGCAACAAGCTCTACGTGGTGGGGGGGTACTTTGGGACCCAGAGGTGTAAGACGCTGGACTGCTATGACCCCACCTCAGACACGTGGAACTGCATCACCACTGTGCCCTACTCGCTCATCCCCACGGCCTTTGTCAGCACCTGGAAGCACCTGCCGGCGTGAAGACACCTGCAGACCCAGCCAGGTGAGCCCCAGTGCGTCCCCACTCAGGGTGATGATTGCTGCATCTCTCAGGAAGGCCCGCTGAGCAGCAGGTGGCTGGGCTGAAGGACAGGCAGTCCTGCCTCTCCTGGGGGTGGTAATGTGCTCGCCAGCATAGGGGCTCCTCTGTATCCTGTCCTACATGACACAGAGAGGCTTTCCCAGAAGAGGCAGGCATCCAGATGAGGTCGTCTCTGAGCAGGGCAGGCAGTGGAGCAGGTGCCTGTCGCTCCTTGTTCTTAGCACCGTGCCTGTGTGGAATCGCAGGAAAACAAGCACGAGTGACTGGATGAAGAGAGCTAGGTGACGAAGCAGGTGCTCTTTGGGGGTGAAGGGAGGGGTGGGAGGCACCAGCAGGGTCTTAGGACAGGCCTGGCGTGGGCGAAGAGTCTGGCCAGGTTGCATCTGGCCCTGCCTCTTCTGAGGGTAGCTGGGGTCTCTCCTGCAGCTAGTGAGGCCAGGAGAGCAGTGTGGGACAGCCTGGCAGGGCGCACAGGGCTGGCAGGTGATGGGTTTTTCGGCACGTGTACCACGCCTGGTGTTCTGTCGCGTGTCACCAGCCTCATGTGTCCCATGCCCCTCCCACCAGAGATGTGGTGCATGGCACCCTGCAGTGATGAAAGCATAGGGTGCCGGGCTCCAGAGGGCCGGCCCCGGTAGAAATGGGGCTTGGTTCTTCTCAAGGCTTCTCTGGTTTGTTCGGTTTGGTTTGGTTTGGTTTGGTTTCTCTCTCTTTCTCTTGGGGAGAAAAATCTGACCCTGCCAATTTCATGGCCTCCGGGGAGTAAGCTTCAAAGAGGATGTTGGCATTCCTCGGGACCTCTTCCTTCTCTAGGGGCCTTAGAGCCAGGGTGTCACCTGCCTGGTGGAGGGCGGAGGGTATGGGCGCTGCTGTCCCTTGCTGGCATTGTCCCTGGCCTGGGACCCTGAGTGCAGGCCCCTCCTCTGGTGAGAGGACAGGAGAGGCCACCAGAGGCTGCTGCTCCTGTCTCCGCCAGTGGGCGGGGTAGCTCAGCTGACCCTGCAGACCCACTTAGTCTTCAGGGATTCTGTGCTTTCAGGCACCCAGGAAGGGAAGTGTACATTGCCTCTTGGCTCTGACTCTGGTTGCTTGGCCCCGGAGAGGGTTTGTGACTCAGGAGGAACATCTGGAAAATGGGGAGGAGATTGTGTTGTACACAGTACCTGACTGATGATCAAATAAGAGTGGGCTTCGGTGTCCACCTCTATAACGGGGAGGAAGGTGATGACGATGGCTTCGGGTCACCTTAGGCTGCGAGGCCCTCTTGACATCCCTGGCAGGTCCCCACAGTCAGATTGCTGTGACTCAGGCGTACCTTCCTGCCCCGTGTGTCACAGGCTTGTGTCCCTCTAGTACTTCCCAGCGCATGGGCACACAAAATGAGCCATGCCCAAGTCCACCTGGGAAGCCTCCCACAAAGAGTCCCTGTGGCGGTGTCACTGCACAGTTCCGGGCTGCCTCGGGCTTCGGCTGTGGCCCTGTGTTCCTGGCTGGGTCTTTACCATGGGCCCCAGCGCACCCGGAGACTGCCCTAGAGTACTTCCCTGGCTTCCTTCCCCGCAAGCTTCCTGCTGAGGCTGGAGCTGTCCTCGGAGGCAGGGGCAGCTGGGCTCTCAGCAAAAGCCTACCAACCAGGCCCAGCGTCTCCTGCCAGGGCTTGGGCAGGGCGTCCTGTTCATTTGCTGGGGTGCAAACTTCAGTGCTGCCAGTTGAGGTCCCTGTGGGCTGCATCTGTCCATCCCCTGTGACGCGCCCCCAGGTGGACCTTGCTTGCTTTCGCTATCCCAGTGCCCATGCTTCGCCCTTCGTGGCCATGGCACCTCTACCGAGTGCTCTAGGTGTCCTCTCGTCAGTCCTCCCAGGGTCTTCATCGTAGCTGCTGCTCCAGGACCTGAGCCTGGGGCTGCCCATACCTGCAGACATCCGGGCACCCTCAGTCCTGCACTGTATGGCGCCCCACATGGAGTGGCCACCTGCTACAGGCCAGGGCTGGCTGTACAGAAATGGATTCCAGCAGGACCTCCAGGGCCATCACTCAGTCAGGTTCGCGTCTGTAGGGAACAGCAGCAGCAGCAGCGATCAGGGCACGCTGGAGCTGGTGTCCATGCCATCTCTCTGGAGTATATATCACTAGGGGTGGACTTGGCGTGGGCATCTCTTTTCCCTGCCCACTGAGTACTCCATGAGATGCCAGGCTTAGAGCTTTGGGGACCTTAGTTTGGTGTACCTAGGGGACTCGACCCAGCTGCTCACTGCAAGGAGCCCTGGGAAATTGGGGGCCCTCACAGCCCACCCCTGGCCTGGAGGACCTGCTGGCACCCAGGAAGGCAGGACCCTTAAAGGAATGGTCCACAGGCCCACAGTGCTGGCTGAATTTTCCTGTTGTAACGTAACTTAAATACATAACAGATGTGCACCCTGACAAAAGTCTTTGTCCTCGTAGTTTTGCACAGCATTACGCTAGCACAAGTGTGTAGGTTAAATACAGCCAGAGCTCTGCATCCTAAGACCAGCAGCATTGCCTTTGTTTTGCCGAGGCGGGGCTGCTGTGCCCCAGGACCAGAGCCCTCTCAAGCCCCTCGAGTGTGGGGCACAGTGGTCTTCCCTCCACCCAGATGTGCCCCCTGTTGTGGGGCTACCTGGATCTCACAGCGCTGCCAGTGCTGACCAGAGTGCGTGCTCTTGGGCACTGAAGTTGTGCAGGGGCCCTGTGTCCTGAGTCTGAGGAGTCATCTGAGGGCTGTGGCCGGCTGAGGGATCCCTCCCCAGACTTGCATCTCCGGCCTTATCCATGCTCACCCCACGTTGGTTTCCTTCTGGCGTCAGGTGCTCTCCATGCAGCCTTCCACATGCGTGGATTTCTCAGTTTTCTCTGGGGGACTGGTGTTGGCACCCTCACCTCCAGGAGAGTCCGCGGCTGTGGGGTGGGAGCCTGGTGACCATGGGGTGGCCCCTCGTTTACCAATGTGTTACCCAGCCTATCACATCCTGGCAGCGTTGTGGGCACCGATGCGGGCACCGATGGGTGTCCGGCTGCTGCCCCCACCTAGCCTGTCGCCTGTTCAGCCTCACAGCATGGCCAGCCCCAGCCGCGGACCTGCCTCTGTGTGAGCGGCCCCTCCTCCTGCTCTGGCACCAGCCCACAGTTACTTGGATTTTCTTTTCTTGGTACTGGGGATCAAACTCGGGTCCTTGTGCTTGGGAGGCAGGCGGCAGAACCGCTGAGCTAAATCGCTGGCCCTTGGATGTTCAGATGTGCCACATTCTCACCTCAGGGCCCTTTCCCACGCTGTGCCTGCTGCCTGCACTGCTGGCCCCTTAGCAAACTCCCACCTACCTATCTTCGGGCCTCGGGGGAAATACCGCTTCCTTCCCACACCCTCGCCAAAACAGTCGTTGTCCTTTTACCTTGTTTGTAGCACGTCTCCCAAGGCACTGTCCATGCGGGTCTGCAGTCGCTGCCCCGGGAGCACAAGGCGTGGAGACCATAGCCATGTCTGCCCCTCGGGGTCCCAGGCCTGCCAGGGTGCGGGTATGCAGGGAGCTGTGCTCAGGGTGCTGGGCGCTGCCATGCTGCAGTCCCCTCTGATGCTCGGCCTCTGTGCTGTCATTCTGTTGCAGAGCAGGGGGACTGTTGTGGCTGCTGGGCACTCATTCCTTCTCTTCTCCTCCAGACTCTGCGCGTCTCTCTCAGCCCCACGGCTCGTGTCCCGGGGTGGCCTGGCCATGCTATCACCTCTCCAGTGGCCAGAAGACAACTGTTCCCGCGCTGGTGGATGATGTGTCTGCTGTCCTGTGCTTCAGACAAGAGGAGCGAAGCTTCCCTCGTCCTGTGCCTGGGGGCCTCTCCAGCCTCACGTGTTTGGCACAGGGCGAGGAGCTCCAGAGGGCTTCGGGGAAGAAGCAGAGCCCTGAAGCTGCTTGTGTCATCGAGCCCTGGACTGGGGCTGGGAGCAGGGAGAGAGGAGTCCAGACGAGGATGGGGCCGGGGATGGCAAGGTGGACTTCGGTCACCTGCGCTGGTGCACAGCCTCTGACTCATGGGCTGTCTCGTGGGAGGTTTCAGTGTCACCTGACAGATGGAAGCAGGGTCTCCCAGACTGAGAACAGAAGGTCATCATTGACAAGAAACTGAGGACAGTTTGGAGGTCACAGGGTGACCTCAGTGACACCCCAAGATTTTATTAACAAATGTACCCAGACCCCCAAAGCCAGAGAGGAGGTCTGGGCCCCAGAAGCCCATCCTATCTCGTGGAGGACCAAGTTCTAGGGTGCTACACCAGGTGTGGGACAGGTGCCCCTGCCTGAGGACACACGCACCGTGGGGCCGTAGCCCTGGGGGGTGCCTGGCCGCCATGTCACCCCTCCTCAGAGCCCACTCAAGCGACTGCATCTCCTGCCAGCACCACAGTTGGCAGCACTGGGCTCCGTCCCCAGAGACCCCGCCACGCCCAGGCCAGGGCAGCTCTGAGCTGGAGCTGGAGAGGGGTCTTGGCGGCGGTGGCATATCAGAGTGGGGGAACAATGCCATCTCCGTGCCCGCCATCCTCCCTGCTGCGTAGCACCGGCTTCTCCAGTTTGTTCCCTGAACAGTCCCCAGGGTTGCCAGGCATTTGCCCATCACTGCACCCTCCGGCATCTTGGGATTCCCCACGTCTCCTACTGCTGTCACCTTCAGTGGGCACCTCACCCCTGAGCAGAGGCCCCAGCCCACGCCTCACTCAGCCCTCCATCTTGAGGGTAGGTTCTGGTTCCCCAAAGTTCGTGCTACCTACTGGCCAGGACCAGGCCTACAAAGTGGGCTGCAGTGTTACTGGGGATTTAGGGCCCCGTAACTTCAGTCCCCGTGTCCCCACCCCTCAGCACTGGTGCTGGCCTTGTGCATGTCACATGGGAGAGGACCTGGGGCTAGGCCTGCCAGGAGAGTCGCTCCCTGGGCCCACAGACATGGCCATGTCCGAGGCCGCCCTGTGCGGTCTCCCCTCTGCTGGGACCTGCAGGGAGTGCTCCCTGTGTGGACAGCGGGTGAGATAAGCACACTTCCACAGCACAAAGGACCCAGCCATGGTGCTTTCCCCGAGTCATGTGGCTCTTACCAAGCTTTCTAACTTAATAAAGAGTTGAGCAAATTCTCAGCCTGCCTCTGCTGCTAGGGTGTCTCGCCAGGGCCAGCTGGTATTGTGGGGAGCCCCTGGGTTAGGGCCTCCCCGCTGTCCTTGCCAGTTTAGACCCTAGCAGCTTTCATCATCGAGTCCTGGCCCTGCCTTCCCACTCCTGAGCGCCCCTGTGCAGGGCCGCATTGAAAGCGTAGTCTTGGTTTGGCAGGCATCTGTACTACTCATGGGCCCCTGGCTGGTGTATCTGAAAGCAGTGCCCATGTTGTCAGGAAGGGCACCAGGCCTTTGGGCAGTAGTGATCGTTCAGAGCCTGTGGCCTCTTAGCTGCTGTCCCACCCCAGCTGGCTGCTCTCCGCTTCTCGGCCATCAGCAGTGTGACTCAGGCCACCATAGCTGAAGCACACAGCTGTGTGGCCTGGGTGGTGGGGGCCTGGAGGTACACCGGGTCTGGCCTGTCCCCTGCCTGCACAGTGGCTCTTGTCCAGTGGCCCGAAGGCCATAAACTACACACGGGGCCCTGGCTGGGCAGAAGTGCTTTGGGTGCCAGAGGGCACAGCGTTGTCACCTTCCTGTAAAATTGAAGTCTCCTGGGATGCATGGGGTTCTCGGGTCCAGGCTGCTGTAGACACCCCAACAGCAAGCAGAGGCGCCTTCCTTCCAAGCAGTGGGAAGCCCAGCCTCTACTCTCCTTCTCTGGCAGTATTCCGCTCAAGGTTTTCCTGGCCCAACAAGGCCGCCTCTGCTCCTCCCATCTGTCTGCTTTCCACTAGTGGAAAGGGGAGAAGAGGGAGTGATAGCCAGGCCCCTTTAAGGGCATCCGCCACCCAGAACACAAACAGCTTCTGCTCTGTGTTGGGTTACTTTTCTCTAGTTGCCTGACACCCAAAGTTGGAGGGGCAGGGGTTTATTTGGTTCACAGTTCCTAGAGGTTTCTGTGCTGGCTCCAACGTAGGCAAACAGGCATGGGGGAATGAGGGGTGGGATTGGGCCGTTCCAAGCCAATCGTGTGGTGTTTCGGTGAGCACACACCCTTAATCCCAGCATCACACGTTCCAGATTTAGCTACATTTGAGAAAGGCTGTGTGAGGCTTTGTGGTGACGTCTAGACGCAAGCGAGGACGTGCACCCTCCCAAGCTAGTACTTGGTGCTGCCTACACGTGGCGAGTGCCCCCGCTAAAACTCGAGGAGGGGACAGGCAGCAGCCCCTGCCTCTCGAGCCTGGCTGGGTGAGAGGCTGGCTGCGCGTTCGAGCGCCCCTGGTCAGCCCTGGATGTGCTTGCTGCCCATGGACCAGGGCTTTGCATCTTCAGCCCCCCAAGTGACCCCGGAAGGTGGGCCTTCTCCACTTGCTGCTGATGTTGCAGTGGCTCAGGGAGGGTTCGCGGCTGGAGATGCCCCGCTGCCTTCGGCGGAACCCCCAGCCCTGGTCAGAGTTCTCATCCACGTGCGAGCTGGGGGACACCAGCAGCTTCTGAGTCAAGGTTGATGGTGGCAGGGTCCGTGATGCACTAATAGCCCAGCCCTTTGTCGCTGCCGGACAGACGTCTGTCACCCTGCCCAAGGGAGGCCTCAGTGCCGCCTCCCGGGGCAGACTGCGTCTGGGATGGGGCTGTGTAAGGCACCAGGAGCCTCGCCTCCATCGGTGTGGGGCTGTTCTCGGGGACTTGGGTCCCGAGGTGGCCGATGACGTTATCCTGGGTTGGGGGCAGGATGTGGGAACGAGAACTGACCATCTCCAGTCCTCAGCACCCCGTAGTCCTGCCCGAGGACACCGCGGTACCCCAGCAAGGAAGGTGGCAGGTGGCTTCTTGGCTGCTGCTCAGCCAGGTTTCCGCATTCAAAGGGCTCTTCCTCCCCAGTGGAGCGGGCAAACCCAGACGCATCAGCCCAGCCGCGTGTGGCCAGCGTCCTGGGCTCAAGGCCTCAGCTGTGAACGCTAAGAACGGACCTTCTTAAGAAGCAGATGTCTTTAACGAGCCCGTGCGGCTGCTCGCAAAGCGCCTCCTGTTCTGGGTCAAGCCTCCTCGGGGGGCGGGGCGGGTACTTTGCACTGGAGGCTTCCACGCCCACTCGCCAAGTCCCGCCCCATTCATCATTAGGTTATTTACTTGAGCTCACTCTGTTTTCCTAGCATTCAGTGCTATGAATTTTCTGTGTAGAACTGCTTTCATTGTGTCCCATAGATTACTATATGTTGGAATGGCATTTTCATTTACTTGTAAAAACTGTCTGATTTTTTTCTTTAATTTCCTCTCTGATCCATTGATTTTTCAGGAGAGTGTTGTTCAATTTCCATGTGTTTGTGAGGTTCCTACAGTTTCTTTTGTTTGTTTGTTTGTTTGTATATTTTTGGTACCAGTGATTGAACTCAGGTCCTTGTGCTTGCAAGGCACCGCCCAGCCGCGGGTCTGCCGCAGGTGAGAGCGGGCTGCTTGAGTGTGTGCTTGTGGGTACCCGGAAGGCGGGCGGCGTCCTGCCCCACCTGGCCTCCGTGGAGAGGCAGGGGCTGCTCGGGTGAGTCTCTCAGGTCGTGCGATCTGTGAAAGCTCAGCTTAGGAAGCCACAAGCTTAATGCTTACAGCCTGGTTCCTGTGGAGAGAGCAAGGCCAGGGAACACCTCGAACTCAGACTTGCAGCCTTCAGGTGGGTGAGCGGATCCGTTTGTGTTGTTTAATGCACTCAGTTTGTAGCACTTTTTACGGTGGCGCTAGCAGATCGGTCCGCTAGGGTTCCTCTGCCCATCTCTGCGCTGCGTTCTGAGCCTGCAGTCGCTCAGCCGGGGTGAAGCTGGGTGGTATAGGGTGTGCTTGGCACCCACAGGCTCTTGGTTCAGTCCCCAGCCCCGAAAAAGTCAAAGCATCCCCGAAAAGAGCACAAGGTCCCCAGCTGGCACAGGGCCAGGGCACCGGAGAGGTCCGGAAGACAAGCACGGCTGGGGGCAGGGCAAGCCAGGGCTGCAGGTGGGCGTGGAGTCCAGGGCCACAAGGAGCAGGAGCAGCTGCAGCACAGCCCGCGGGGGGCGGGATCTGTGCCTGGCCTGCGTGGCCTTTCATTCTGTATTCACTCACCTGCGGTGCTCTTCTGCTCTCCTGCGCAGACTGACCACATGGCTGGCCCTGCCCTGTGTCACAGCCTCCCTGTGTATCCGTGGCCAAGGCCTTAGATTCCCTGAGTCTCAGCTGCCCCATCTGTGAAAGAGGGATGAGGGATGAGCAGCTGTTTCCGTGGATTGATTGAGTTAAGGACACAAGGGCCTGTGAGCAGGGCCTTGTGCTTAGGCAGCGATCAACAGTTGTGAGTAATTGTGTAGTTGTTTGGCCGAGCATCGTGACTTTCACCGTCTCAGCCCCAAGCCTATCTTTTCCTGTGCCCACCACGTGGCCACCTGCCAGTCCTGCTCTGGCGGTTTGTATGCTGGAGGTTTAACTTGCATAACTGTGAACATCTTTCCTTCTTTGCTTTGCTATATCTTGGAGCTCTCAGCAGGCCATGAGGTCAGAATGCACTCTGGTCTAATAGAAGAGAGGCTGTGAGGTCAGAGGGCAGGGCTTTTAATGAGTAAGACTGGCTTTGCAGCCCAGCAGATCTGAATGTGAATCACTGGTCTCAGGCTGCCCGACTTAGGCAGAGGTCCTCTTTCTGAGGCTGTTTCTATCGAAGAAGTCCAGTTCCTGCCGGGAGGGGCGATTGAGGGACCTGGATAAGAAATTACGCATTTTTTGCCTTAAGAAGCCCGTGTGGGTCTAACATGGGCCTGGGAGTAAGGAGCATGGTGTGAGCTGCATCCCTTCTGAATCACCTCGGCCCTGGTTCTGGTGAGGCATCAGGTCCTTAGGGTGCTGAGCTTGGCTCTGGAGTGGGCAGGGGGTTTGGACCAGTGCCCCGGTCCCCTCTGTTCAGCCCATGCCCTTGCTGAGCCTGGAACATGAACCTTGAGATGCTCAGTGCCTGGGTCATGGGGTTGAGCTGGGTGACTTCGCATCCTTTCGTCAGTTGAAGGAGAGCAGCGCTGCTCAAGTCCCTGGAAGAAGCTTCTGGACACTCTTGGGCTGTGCGATCAATTAAGTAGTCTCATATGGGGCACCAACTCCATGCCAAGTGCAGTTGTCTGTCCTTCCCCTGGGGCACAGCAGGCCAGTCCTTCCTGCTGGTGACGGGCCCTGTGGTCTCATCACATCCTTGGAGTCCCCTTCACCCCCAAGCTCCAGGTAGACTTATCCCTGGTCCACTGCTCAGGCCCCAGTGAGACCGGAACAGGAGAGATGACTTCCTGTCCCATCTTGTGCATTGTACTCTCAGGGCGGGGGCTGCAGAGCAAAAAGGACGATCGTCCCATCTAGGTGGTAGCACCAAGGACAGCAGGGGCCCTGGGAGCTACAGCCACAGTGCCCTCCTGCCAGGTACTTCAGACACATGAGCTCGGTTAAGCAGGGTCCTGGCTCTAGAGGTGATCCCACCTCCTGTTTTGCTGCATGGCCCTTAGCTCCCAGGCAGGGTTCTCTCAGAGACTGGGGGAGGGAGACCTGTGCTGCTTCCGTTCTTCACTGAGACTTTAAAATGAGAATTGAAGTGGCATCAGAAAGCCCGTGGTGGCTTAGTGTGGCTGACTTGCGCCTGACTACAGGGTGCCAGGCTGCCTTGCCGTTCGGTGACCTGCCGGTAGGTAGCAGCCCTCACACCTATTCCTCCTCTACCAGAGGCTGAGCCCTGCTGGGCTCAGGGCAAGACCTCATGGGCTTTGTGTGTTGGACCTCGGACATTTTCCTCGGTTTGTGCTGGGCGGCATGGCAGGGCCAACTGATATGACGCAGCTGTCCTTGGAGGACCCCTTTCTTCCTCTATCCCCAAGTCCTCATTTGTGTAAAAAAAATCTTATCGGTACGGTAAGGACCAAGGACCAAACTGAATAGGATGAAGAGGTTATGAGCTTTCTGTTAACAAAGTTCACTGCCTTTGCCCCTTGAGGTCTCAACTGAGGGTGTGTCGGTGTTAGCAAAAAATATTACCTAGAAGGAGAAAACAGGCCGGCT